AATTTAAAGATAATGTCATTTTTTTCCATGAACTTTTGAAGGCCCCTTGTATGTGCTGTGTTTTTGACCCCTCCCCTCCTGAGTGGAGCATGAGGCTTCATGTGTTCAGCTAAGGAGGCAGGGATTTGAATCCAGATAGAATGAGAGGGTAAACCATTGCAATCTGAGAATTGAGACTTTGACAGCCCAGTAGAGCTAGACGATAAGAACTGGACGACTAACTTCAAGATTGGCAGTTCAAACCCACCAAGCTGCTTGTGGGAGAAAAATAAGACTGTCTTCTCCTGTAACAATTTGAAACCTCAGAACCCTATAAAAGGGCGGCTATGAGTTAGAATCAACTAGATGGCAATGCATTGGAAATTTTGAGTTTTTCACCCTATCCTAGACCCTGACCTCCAGATCCCCAGAGCCCCAGCTCTTTCCCCATCCAGCCTTTCCCCATGGAAGGAAGGCAGGTGTGGGTGGGAACAGCGCCTCACCAGTAGATCACTCGAATAAGAACTTTGTTGTCCATTTGGAAGTTCTCACTGGTGGAGGCCAGTGGGTTGTTAGAAACAGGTAAGATCGTTGACATCTTGGTCCCCAGGACAGGCACTGGGATAGGTCCGGGGGTGGAATCCATCAACGTGGTGGTCAGTGTGTCTACCGTTGGAATGGGATCCAAGGTGCACCCCAGTATATCGGTGGCTGATGGAGTGTGAGCTGGAAAAGATCCCTGGGCAAGCTCGGTTAGACTGGTGATGGATGGATTGGAGGACCGCGAAGGATCCTTCTCAGAAGACAAAGTTGGCTCTGGAGCGGGTACTGGGGTCGGAAAGGATTCCGGTCCAGGGAGCTCCGCAGGGATCGCAGCTGGGATTAGGGCCTGGGCTGTACTCGAGGCGTGGACTGGGGTTGGGGTCCGGACTGGGGTTGGGGTCCGGACTGGGGTTGGGGTCCGGACTGGGGTTGGGGTCCTGACCGGGGTTGGCCCCCGGACCGGGGTTGGGGACAGGACCGGGGTTGGGGACAGGACCGGGGTCGGGATCCGGACTGGAGTGGGGGCCCGGACTGGAGTCACAGCCCGGAAGTGGGTCGGTGCCTGGGCTGATGTCGGTGGGTGGGCAGATGTTGGAGCATGGACGGGGTTCGGGGTCCGGACCGAAATTGGGGCCCGGATCAGAGTTGGGGACCGCTCTGAGATCGGATCCCGGACTGTAGTCGGGGCCCGAACCTGAGTCGGGGTCCTGACTGGGGATGGGGTTGGGGCCCGCGCCTGGTTACTCATCCGGGGCCCAGTGGAGGCGCGGGTATCCCGGGATGGGATTCCCGCCCTGCCCTCCTTCCCGGAGCTGGGTGGGCGCGCAGGCTCACCAGGGTTCTGAAATGGAACGTGACCACATGGGGGCACTGTTACACTGTGTTAGCTCAGAAAGGAAGGCCTAAGGATGGGGCTGGACTCCTAGATCTTGCCTAGTAATTCCCACCCCTTAAGACCTGGTGTGGCGCTGTGGGTTAATGCTCCAGACTCTGCAAGATCGGTGGTTCAAGCTCACCAGCTGCTCCTTGGAAACCCTATACAGGGTCGCTATGGGTCGGAACCGACTCGATGGCACTTAACAACAACAAGCGCTGTGGGTTAATACGCCAGACTTGCAAAGCTGTTTGAACTGCAAGGTCCGTGGTTCAAGCTCACCAGTCACTCCTCGGAAACCCTATACAGAGTCGCTATGGGTCGGAACCAACTCCACGGGACTTAACAACAACAATAACAATTGTCATGGCCAGTGTTTCCCTCAGTGTCCTTAACATTCCTGTGTTGGTTTGTGTCTTGCGGACCTGGCTCCGTGCTGGGTGAAATTAAGACAAAAGGGTATCAGAAAATGCCTAGTTTCTGCACTCATCACTTTCCTGGCTGGGGAGACATAGCCTGCACAAAACAGTGGCAGTTTAGATGAGCCTGGGACTAGACGGGGGGGGGGGGGGGGGGGGGGGAGGGAAGCACTGGCAGAGGGGTCCGGGCTGGGAGGGGTCAAGTAGTGACCAAAGAAGATGCTAGACTCATCTGTGACAAAGAGGATTTCCTAGAAGAGGTGACAACTGAGTGACCTGGAAAATAATAGCCACAGAGAATAACATTTACAGCTGGTAGCCCTGTGGGATGTATGTTGGGCTGCTTGCTAACCACAAGGTCAATGGTTCAAACTAACGAACGGAGCTCCACAGGAGATAGGTGAAACTTTCTGCTCCTGTAAAGATTTACAGTCTCTGAACCCCTGTGGGGCAGTTCTACTTGGTTTGCTATGAGTCCAAATGCTGGCAGTAATGAGTTATGTACTGGGCTGCTAACTTTAAGGTCAGTACTTCAAAATCCACCAGTAACTCTGCAGGAGAAAAAGGTTTTCTGCACCGGTAGAGATTTATACTCTCAGCAGCGCTGCACAGGGTCGCTCTCAGAATCCACTCATGGCAGTAGGTTGGGTTTAGGAGATACACTTTCCCCCAGTACTGAGAAGAGCTAATATTCAAACTCAAAACTTGTCAGACTTCAGAGTTGTATAGTCCAATTGCCACTTTGAGATGGACTGATTAAACTGCGACCTCATGCAAGGTGACGATTGGTCTGTCTCATTCACTGTGGTATCCTCGGCTCCTAGAACAAGGCTTGGCGTACAGTTGTTGTTGTTAGGTGCCATCAAGTTGGTACTGACCCATAGTGACCTTATGC